ACTAGTCTGATTGTTATCAGTATCGTCTCTCTCTTTAATTATTTCAATTCTAATTCCTTCTTAATCATGATACCCAATATTAAATAGTTCATACGTATTATATATAACTGTCCTTTTAACTCCAATCCATTCATGATAACAATATCTAGCATTACACATTTCATAAAATTCAAGATTATCTACATAATTTATGATGATAAATCAATGCCTTATGTTCATTCTTTTCAACTCTAATTTTTTTTCATTTTTGATAAGATTAAATATTCCATCTATATTACTTACTCTTTCACCAAATTTGATAACAACAGCCAACTTGAAATGTTTTTTATTATTAATACAGTTATTTTGTCCATTCAATCCACCACTTTTAGACACCTTCAAGAACTATCCACATACAGTATATTGGTATTAAATCTTGGTAATAAGTGTATGCCCTATGCCATCTTTAGCATCCAGATTCATTGATATGCTTTTCTTGTTTTCATTTATCTGCATGTATAATAGAGTAAATAGAATGCTAATAAGTGTTTATAATATATTTCTTTATTATAAATCCAAAATACTGCTAATCTACGGTTTCATTTAGAATTATGACCTTAATTTGAAACTATTTTAAAACTACTTTACCTGAACTTTATTCAACTTTTATTTATAATACTAATTTTTAGTCTTCAAGTGTATAAAGCCTAGTTGCAAGAGAAGTCACTGTGTTCCTATTATTATATTTCTATAAAGACAAAAAAAAATTTTAATAGTTGTAAATTTTAGGTTTTGAAACTACCAATCTTAAACATAAGTTTGTAACGAATAATTGAGCTTAATATCATTTTATACTCTTCAATTGTGAAAACCTTATATTTATTATATAAAAAAAAATTTATTACATGCATGATTCAAATACTAATATAATAAATTTTTTAATCCTCTTCATCTTGTACCATTTGACATGCTAACTCAATAGGATTGTAATTCATATTACCTACATCTCTAGCCCGATTAGTTGTAACAGAATCTGAAAAAAATATTGCATCTCCAGATGCTAAAAATTCTGGCAATGCTAAATCTACTGAATCTGCAATATTTAATGTTAAACTTTCTAAATCTTTGCTTTTATTAGTATTATCTAAATTATTAGTCTTACCATTATTAGTATTTTCGTCTGAAGTTTCAAGTAAATCATATGTAACCATTGATGTATTAATACTTTTATACAACTCTTCATAATTTAAATCTTTGCCATAAAGTTGAAGTTCTTTATCAGAATTTGAAAGGTAATAAGAGCGTATTTTTGCTATATCTTCTACTCGAGAAAGACAAAGTTGGGTTCGTTTACTACCATAAAACCATTTAAGCATTGAAAAGTTTCTTTTATAGATAGCTTGTGAAGGAACAATTGAGAATAAGCATGGTGCCAATTGTTGGAGTTGATCTTGATCATTATCAATATATATACTACGCCACCATTTAATTGGTGTTTCACGAGTAGAATTATAGGAAAAATGGTAAGATTCATCCTTTCTTTTTCAACTTCGCATTTCTACCAATAATTGTGTACATGATTTTTCCAAATAATGTAAATCATTCTAAATTAATGTAGCTGTTTCATAAATTTTATCCAATACTGTTCTTTTTAAGCCATGACCTAAAATATATATATTATTAAGTGATAATACATATGTATATAAAAAAAAAATTTAGCTAATTTTGTATACATACCTCTATATAAGGGATGTAACCAGTATGCAAGAATTGTAACAGAAATTACAAGTTCACCGAATCGTTGATTAAAATTAATAATAATATTTCTTTTCCACAGATTAGAATTTTCAACTCGATTAATATTTGCAGCTAATTTAACTAACCCAATAAAAATATCAGCTAGATTAGATGTTTTAGCTTTTAAACAATTTGTTAATTCCTTTACAGGTTTCAAAATAACTGAGATCTGACGGCACTTAATATAAAAATTTTCGTCCTCAAGAAGATCAAATACCATAGTATTAGAGATTACAGACATATGATTTTCTAAAATCTATATGTATATAAAAATATTACATAATTATTACGTATACTATACGTATTACTATAAATTTAAAATTAAGTAAATATTAAATATTAAACTTACCCAATCAAAAACTGGCTTAGATTTAACAATTGAATCTATTGTTGTAAAAAGTGT